TAGCACGACTTGTTGGATGAGTTTTACCACAGACATTTGGACGTCTTGTTAGCCTCGTTAGCATGATTAATCTTACAGCACAATGGATAGACAAAAACTTTGATCTTAAAAAGGCTGTCCTTCATGCACAGGAGTGCAGAGGATCCCACACTGCAGCTGAACCTGGAACAAGCCTCCACAAGTGAGACAGCATTGCAGATGATTAATGCTAATACATAATATTTAACACGTTTCATTTAATATAAGTTAAAGAGCTATGCATATCATATGGCTGTTACTGAATATCACCAGCTCTTACAGCTGTTACACAATTTTTGTAGCAAATAATCCTCAATAAGAGGGCTATGTTCTGACAAAGGAACATATATAAAATATCGGTATCAGCATCGGTTATCGGCCAAATAAGTTTTAACATATCGGCATATCGGATATCGGCCAAAAATCCACTATCATGCATCCCTATTTATGTGCGTCATCTGTTGGACACCATCTTTTGCAATCCCTGTTAGGTGTCTGCCGTGTAAATACTGCTATTCTTGTATTTTGTAATGTGGTATGTCTGTGTGTCTATGAATGTGATGTGATGTTGGATAACTGTGTGTATTTTATGTTCTGCAGAACAGTAACCTGCTGTAAAACAGCAATTATGCTGAGCCAGGCCTGATTTCTTTTATTATTTTCCTGTTTAAAAATTAAATAAATAAAAACCAGGACATCATTAGCGTGTGCACCGTGCTCCCACAGCTCTGTAAAATATAAAAACAAATAGAAGATGGCATTTCTACCACGGGTTGAGTTAAAAAATATATAATAATTAATTAATTAATAATAATAAAACCAAGGAGGTCAGTGTCACTTACCCTGGTGTGGGTTACCCCACCTTGGAGCCAGGCCTGGGGGAGGGGCTTGTCGGCGAGCGCCTGGTTACCGGGTCTCTACCCATGGGGCCCAGTCGGGTTCAGCCTGAACGAGCGGCATGGGTTAGCCTTCCTGTGGGCCCACCAACTGCAGGAGGGGCCATATGAGTCGGGTGCATGATGCCATGGCAGTAGTCGAAAGCGGGGGCCTTGGTTCTCGGACCTGGGCTTACTCCCCATCCATCCATATCCTCCCATATATATTTAACAGCCTACCTGTAGGTCACTTTTGAAGACCTCCAGTTTTGTCTGGAAAGCACTGCTGATATCAGTTCACACACTGATGTTCTTCCCTTGTAGCTTCACATTTATCTCACTCAGATGTTATATCAGACAAAAATGTTACAGCCTCCATTGTTTCTGGATTTTGCAGGAATTTCATGAACTTTTTTGCTTTTGCACTTTTTTGCTTGTAGCTCATTCCTAATAGCCCAACAGCGCTCCAGGACCTCACCTTTGCTCAACACATATAGTTATAACAAACACAAAATTAGAATTGTTAGAATAAACACAAATTGTTCAGCCCATTCCTCTTTAAACTGCTGGTTTTCAATGCCCACCTTTCTTTTACTGACGAACTTGGAGCATGCCATGTTTACTCGAATATAGCAGACCATTGATCAAACAACCTCTTTTTTTTCCTAAATACTGTTCTCGCTGCAGCGGTGAACTCTCTCAGTAACAGCTGATTGATGTGTTGTTGTCACGTCTATAGCACATGTCAACCAAACCAAAGCCACACAGTGACTGTTTTCAGACCTGCAAAATCCATACCGGGTCAACATCCAGGACTGAGATTCAAGACCTTTCGTGTTTTCCCGGATCAGGATCCGGACTGACCGCAGGGTGCAGACGGAAAGTAAGTGGCATTCAGACTTGGATGGCTCGCGGGCCGGATGTGGACCACATGCTGCCATTTGAGGGCCACTGTTCTATGGCATGCCTTTTTGTTCCTGCTCCTGCAAAGCTAATTGATGTGGAGCTCCAAATTGTGGTGCCAGAAACTTTGTTTAAGGTAAAAACGTAGTATGAAAACATAAAGAGACCTGTCTGAGTCCACTTTATATTGCTTCCTGTTGTCTATGTGGAGGAGCTAGAGGGACATTTAACTCATCATCAGTGGAAGAATGTTTTATGAACCATAGAAAATGTAATTTCCTGCCCAGTGTCATAATTGGACTCTCAGTTAAGGAGTTATTTAACACAACATTTTGATCAGATGAACGACTTCACTGATCTGCTCAATGATAATAAAAATTCTATGTCGACAATTTTTTTCAATTACTTTTTTTTCATCTCAGAGCCTTGTTGAAGAAAAACCTCTCCTGTCAGCAAAAGTAAACTCAAAATTGAGATAAAAGCTGAAGTAGAGTGATCAGATGAGGAGGAGCGATGTTTTTTTTTTTTTAATTGAATAAATGAAAGGTCTAGTAAGTTAGAGAGGACATTGAGGTAGTTGGAGTGAGGACAGAGGACACAGGATGACTCACTGTGGACACCCTGAAGAGGGAATAGCCAAAAGAAGAAGAAATGAAAAGTCACCTATGAAAAGCAAATCATTACATAACATTAGTTATGTAGGACAAATATGTGTTTCAGCTCTTCTAACCCTTTAGAGTTTCTGCTTTGTGGAGCTTTTATGTCCCGTGATTGATGGGACTCTGAGGAGGAGCCTCATGCAGTAAGTACCCGGCAGCTACAGACTGTAGATATATTATTACACTCCGGCTCTTTTCATGTGTTGATTTAAACTGATTAGGCCCATAAATCCCAAATGCATCTCAAGGACAATTATTAACGCTAAATTAAAGATAATGAGATAGGCGGCTGCTCTCTGTAAGGGAACTTAACATTGTTTATTCAATTTAAATGAGAAAAGTAAAATGGTATATTGGCTAAAACATAAGTTGATTAAAAAGGGTCTTTGAAACACAATTTAAGCAAGATGAAAGAACAAAGTAAATCAGTGAAATCGATCTCAGAGGACTAACATTTAAAGAAGTGTTAGAACTGGAAGAAATACACATACAAACATGACTCATCAGAGTACATAAACAAATGATTAGATGAGCTGCTTAAAGAATGAGTCTTTTTATACACAAAACAAAGGAACGCTGAAAGCAAAGTAAGATCATGATCTAGTCTGCTATAGTTGCTGTAGAGCAGAGTTCTGACAGTAAATGTATACCATGAGACTAAACATATCCATTTGTCTGTTCACTTGTTTTACATGTTTTTCTGGATAAAATATATGTAATGATTTGGTGTAAAGCAGGGGTTCCCAAACTTTTCCATGCCATGGCCCCCCAAACAGCATTAGCTTCTGGCCGAGGCCCCCCTCACAAAACCACAAACAATGTTACAAAATATATAACTAAACATCAACTTTTAGAATGTTTTAACTTTTATTCACTATATTCAATTAATTATTACAGCTGCTGAGCATAAACATGTTATGAACTAACATATTTTAAACACTTTATTATATTCCCACTGAAAAAACAACAACTTTTCAACAAACTGTTGAGCAGAAAAACAAAACAAAACAAATATAACCTCTCTCAAGTGTGTTTATCTGGAAATGACAGATACGGGTTGCCCTAGTGGGTAATTTTTATTATTATTATTACTATTTTTTTATTTTTGCTTTTTTAAAAATCTTCTATCCAGCTTTCTGGGTCCCCTGCAGTGCTCCCTGGCGGCCCCCACTTTGAAAACACAGACAAAAGCAGTTATCCATGCATAAAAAGTGGGTGACATTTTAAAAATTATAGCACAGGGAGTCAAAATAACCTAATGTAGCCTTTTTTTGCCAGATCTACAGACCTCTGATTCAAACCATTTCATTCAAAAGGATTAGATTTTAAATATTTGAGGATTTTATGCATTTTTGTTGTTTTGTTTTGTGTATAAAAGGGGGTCAACAAAAAAAAACTTTTGAGGACCACTGGTGGTGTGTGTGCACACGTGTGTGTGTGTGCTACTTTCTGAGCCCCAGGCAGATAATATTTCCCAAGTCATGAGAGCTTTGTGGTTTGCTGAATCAATCTTGTTGTCTTTAGTGTCAGACTGCATCCGTCAGCAGCTCTTTAGACAAACCAAGACGCAAATCCTGCTCTGCTCAGTTTGCGTTGTCACAATTGCTGCTGCTGGTTGCTGGGCTTCAACAGAAACATGATACAAACGTGAGCTTCGTCCTGTTGTTTACATGGTGTGTTAAAACCAAAAGCTCAGGTCACGCGTTACAGATAGTGATGGGCTGTTCCAGTAAACCACCGTCATTTTCACAACTTTCAAAATAATGTGCTTCACAATCTCATATACGAGCTCAAAGTGTTGAGGATGACTTTAATCAGCCAAATATTGTAAAACGGACTGAGTTAGAGACATATATATGTTGGCAAAATGGAAATGGTGGCATACATTTCTATGCTGATGACACAGTTGTTTATTGTCGAGATAAAACAGTTGATAAGGTTTTCCAGGTTTTGCAATCTGCATTTAACATCATCCAGTCAGATTTGTTCCACTTCAAACTTGTCCTAAATGCCGATAAAACCAAAGGGATGTTTTTTTTCAAACAGGAAGTTGGTCCCAGCAGTTCTTCCTCCGATTTTATCCTCAAATGGTGTCCCCATTGAGTTTGTAGATTCCTATAAATATGTTGGTATCATGGTCGAGTCGCATTTCTCTTTTAAGCTCCATGTGGAAAACCTAGTAAAGAAACTGGAAGTTAAACTGGATTTCCAAAAAAGTTCAATCTGGTCCTCTGGACATTAAAAAAAAAACTAAGCAAAAAAATGTAGAAACGTTTCGTCTCTCATTCGAAAGACTTCCTCAGTCTGAGGTGCTATATTCATATTTCAACTGTCCCCCTCTTACAATGCTGTGATTGCTAGTATCACTCAGCCCTCTGTGAACAGTAAACAGCCATCAGTGTGCTAATGATCCATCGTTAGGCTGATGGTCCTTCTTGACCATGTGAGCAGCTGGTTTTGGTTGTCAGCAGCAAACTGGTTACTACATACAAACTACATATTTTATTACTTCTTGATAAATAACTGAGCGTTTTTTATTTGGCAGAAGACACTGTGGCACAGAAAAAAGGGCCTGAGGATGTAGAAAACAACAAAATAAACTCTCCAGAAAGAGAAAAGGAGAAAACTCAAGAGGTGGAGGAAGAACTGCAACAGACTCACAGCTTCATCAACAGAAGTTGTTCACCCTCACAGAGGAGCAACGTTAAAACCATCCTGCATGACCCAAGTCCTGATTGTGACAGACAGCTGGACAGTCCAACAGAAACAGCAGCAGGTGGACATTCAGATGGTGTCTCTGCTGCTGTGGACGTAGAGGACAGAGACACAGACTCCTCTTGCCTCCCTGCTCCTCCTCACATTCGCTTCAGCTCCCGTCTAGCTGCTAAACCACGGCGAGTTCACAGCCTGCCCAGTCGAGTGAGACTCTCTGCTCAATCCCAGTCACCCAAACAGATCGATGGACGGATCAAAGACTCTGCAGATTCCTGGGGGACATCATACACTGATGCTGAGTCCATCACAACTCTGCGTTCTGCTGAGGGGGAACCTGGTTGGCAACCAGAGGTCCGAGAGAGGCGGTACAGATGTTCCAGCTGTGATAAAAAATTCTACCAGATTAGTCACTTGAAGAAACATCAGTTTAGTCACACAGATGAGAAACCCTTCACCTGCCAGGACTGTGGGAAAAACTACACCTCTGCAGAAAGCTTCAGAGCCCATCAGGTACAGCAAATAGTCTGAATTAAATAAATATTCACCTTTTCATTTAGCAATGTTTAAAATGTTGTTCTGTCTTCTTCTGCTCCAAGTTTAATTATTAAATGTTGTAATGTTGCAAAACCAAAGAGACAGTTAAATTAAACCCCAATATATTAATGTTACTCTGAAATCACATTCACATCAGCCATACATTTCTGGACATACTTTGTCATGCTGAAACCATTTATAGGTTCTGTTTGCTGTATTAGTTGTTTGTTTCGTTATTTTTAAACACCTTGTAGGTGTTTTGTCAGATTTTTGTTTCATGCAGGAAACTTCAAAAACACCACTACTGATTATTCAAAGTATATTTCACTGTCCATTTTAAATCACAATGAAGCTGAAGTTTTCCAAAGATATCTGTAATACCTCCAAATATTTTGTCCTCTGTCTGCTTTTTAAAGTATACACAGACAATTATGGGAAAATCCTAAAATTAAAAATTTTACACTATATTTTGTATTAACTCATTCCTTTTTATGACTCCTGTGATTTACATTTGAGTGCAAAATTCAACCAGTTTCTGATCAATGTTTTTGAACCCTGTTAGAGTGTAAACATTATCAAACAATATACACCAGTATATTTAGATCAAACTTCATTATTCTTTTGCAAATTCGTTAACTTCCTCTCATTTTATAGCTAATAGAAAAACAGGGTTAACAATTACAGTACGTCTTCTCAGATTTGATGTCAACAGACTCTTTTAAAATCTCCTGATGAAAAAAAACTAGCAAAAAGTCACTTTTTCAATCAATAATGGTAAATAATATTTAATCTTATGGAACTGTATCCCAACTGATTTGAAATATAAATATATCATCAGCATAATAATGAAACTGGTGACACAGACTTCGATCAAATTGAGACAAAAGCAACAATAAGAAGAGAGGGCTGATGACAGCCTTGGGGTACACCACATTTAGGTTCAGAAACTTTAATAAATAAAAGCTTGAGAAGTCTTTCAACAGTTGCAAATGAGATTCTGGTGGTCAGTTTAATCTAAGCAAAAAATAAAAGTTAATATTTTCAACCAAGTTCAAAATGGAGATTTTTGTAAAGGGATAAACACTTGTTTTGTTCTTTGACCTTTCACTGAACCTGTCATTATAAAATTTTTCAGACATACTGTAGGCGTTTGTTTGAAACTACGAAAAATTATTTTCCTTTCTTCTGTTGTTAAATCAAGCAGAAATGTTCAGATCCTGTTCGTGTAAGATAATCCTCACATGTCAAATTTAAAATAGAGTTTGGTTTATTTCAGATGAGTCACCGCGGTGAGCGCCCGTTTTCCTGTCCTCACTGTGAGAAGACCTACGGCCTGAAGCGAGACCTAAAGGAGCACTTGGTCCTCCACACCGGAGAAAAACCCTACACCTGTGAGCACTGTGGCAAGTCGTTCACACGGCGCCCCTCCCTGCGGGTCCACCGCCTCCTTCACTGCAGCAGAGTGGTCCACATGCAGTCCCCAAAGGTAACAATGGACTTTTATTTTCATCTCTGCTGTTCCTTTCAAAATATACCAGTTTGAATTAGGAGGGGACTGAGCAGGTACATGTCATTTATTTCTTCTCATGTAGCACAGTCAAGGATTGTTTTCAGTGGCACCTCTTCTTATCCCCCATCACTGAGTGAGCAGGGGGAATTGTAAATACCCTCCATCTGTTCTTCCATCCTTCAGAGCATGTTGTGAGCATGATAACTTAAAAAATAAGTGAGGTACCAACTTCTATTTTGTGCGTGGCTGCATCTAGACATAAAGAAGGTTCCTTTTGAAAATTGTTTTGCCACGTCAAAATCCAAGATGGCTGCCACCATAGATTCATGTAAACCAGCCCCCACCCAGTCATTTGATGAAACTATGCTTTCTAGTTTTTATGTTGTTTAAAAGTAAAGTTTCCTCAAATTATTAAGATGGTCAAAGATTATTGTATGGTGGCCAAGACCACCACTGGCGACCCCCTGGCTCCATCATTGCATCTGGTGGTGGATAAAATTGCTCCCTGTGCCCGCCAGGATCCGTCACTCTGCTCTGCCTCAGTCAAGAAAAAAATAAAAATAAATAAATAAGTTCAGGTTTTTTTACACTGAAACTCCTGTCCACTATCTTGCACCATAAAATGTGTTTACTTGCTTTCTCTGTTCATTTCAGTCCAGAAAAATACTGATCTCAAAAACTAGAAACGTTCAGTGTTCAAATCCCCATAAATCCCCATCAACGGGGGACCTCGGTGTACCGCTTGTTACTACCCTGCAGCTGTTTTAACTTCTCGTGAGCCAACTTGAAAATTTGCCTCCCCGTCTTGATTATTTAATCTACAAACAAGATTTTGAATAAATCAAAAAGCTGTGCTGCAACTTGTGTTTACTCTCCCAGGTGCAGTGTACAATCTGCTCCAAGCTGCTGGCCAACCGCAACTCCCTGAGGCTCCACATGAAGCTGCACACGGGGGAGAAGCCCCACGTCTGTCAGCACTGCGGGAAGTGTTTCAGGCAGAAAGGTAACATCAGCAGCGCAGGTGTTATCCTGCAGCTGCAACAAGCTGATCAGCTGGCAGCAGCTTGTGCTTGTCTTAATAAAGCCCACCAGGTTGAACAGAACCCACTCCCATGTTGGAATAAAAAAAAAAAAAAAAACAATGCAACATCTACTTCTACTGAAGAGCATCAGATTTGTCACCAAACATGAAGGAATCCTTTATTTCTAAAACTCCAAACCTAGTTGCTTCTGAAGTCCCTGAAACGTTTATTTTCATGACGTTAAATAGTTTAATGAACAAAAAGCAGCTTAGATGTTGCTCCTGTTATTCATCTGTCTGTAGCTGTAATTAGCTGCTGACCCCGACTCGCCACTGCTTAAAAAAGGTCAGATCACTTTTTATTCACACGTTGTGACATGAAGCTTCTGTAGTTTATTACAAGGTGAAGGAGCAACGTGATTAATCATCCGGCTGCGTTTTCTCTTTCAGCAGTTCAGTTTCAAAGTAATGGTCTAAACAGTCACGCCGCGCTTTAATACCTGCCTATTTATTTTATTTCAGTTCCATAAAGATGATAAAACTTTTTCCACTTTAAACAAAATGAGTTTCCTTTGCTAAAGAATCTGAAGTGAATTCGAAAGATCATTGACAATGGTGACAATTAAACAAGTTAAATTTAAAGCTTTACAGATAACACACAAGATGTTTTAAGCTCCAGCGCAGATGTTTGTTGACCTCCTGACTCTACTTTACATGCTATTATTTCACTTTTCTGTAACAAAGCAAACCATGCGTGGAAAGATGAGCGAGGTCACCAAATGATGTTGAAACCATAGCAACCATGTGGATGTTGGGAAAGGAGGAGCACCTTCACGAATCTGTGGGAAATCAGCTTGCTGTGGTTTACAAACGGTGGCTGTTTGCTTGCAGAAAGATTAGTCATGAAAATGTTCAGCTCAGCTCCAGAGGGGCCAGCCAAGCAACTTTATGGCTGGATCTGGTATATACATTTTTCTTTTCTTAATTTATGACCATAACAAGGAGTCTGGGCATCCTCCAGTTACACAGAAATATGACAGAACTTGCTTCCAACAGATACAGTGTTTATCCTTTGTTTTTTTTTTACCCGTTGCGGAGCCAAGAGAGGAAAATAGAAATACCCCCCATCTGTATGGAAGATGGCTGCCACAATAAAAGTATATATATTAACATCATAAGCTGGATAACTGGGAAAATAAGGAACGTGTCAACTCCCATTTTGGTGTGTGACTGCACCTGCTGTCGGTGTGAGAAAGGGCTCTAGAAAAACACTTGTCTACAAAACTTCAAACACTCACTATTCAAGTCCCTCAGTGACTGGGGACATCAGTGTACTGCTTGTTTACTTGTTGATTAATTTATTTTTATTATTAAAAACTTGATGATTCCATTTGTTTTTGACACTTTTTTGTGTGTGTACACTAATCCATCCATCCATTATCTTTACCCGCTTCTTCCATTTTGGGTCACGGGGGCCACCGGTGCTCATGTCCAGCAATCACTGTGCGAGGGGTGGAGGACACCCTGGACACGTCGCAAGTCCATCACAGGGACACAGAGAGACAAACGAGACAAACAATCATTCACTCTCTCACTCACACCTAGGGACAATTTAGAGTTACCAATCAGTCTAACATGCATGTTTTTGGTCTGTGGGAGGAAACTGGAGTACTGGAGTACCGGAGAAAATCCACGCATGCACGGAGAGAGCATGCAAACTCCACCCAGAAAGGCCCCCAGGCTTTTAATAGATGATAGATTCAGGGCCCACAGTTTAAACAATTTCAAGTATTTATTTGTTTATCTTTACATAATTTGATCTTCCAGCTCATGAAACTCATGAAAACAGGAATTCATAAAATTTTAATACTGTGGAAACTTGTTTACTGGCCTCTTTAGATATATAACTTTACTAATTGGCTTTTCTTTGTATGTGAATGTTCCTGTAAAGTGCCCTGAGACAACTTTGTTGTGATTTGGCGCTACATAAATAAACTGAATTGAATTGAAGAAATCAGCCCACACTACTCAGTTTTTGCAGAAAAAAAGAGAAATTAGGATCACAACAAATCAATCAAAATATGGTACTTTCAAAACGATATGTCAATCTTCAATACTTGGTTGGGAATCTCTTTGTCTTAATCACTGCCTCGATGCGACGTGGTATTGAGACAATCAGCCTGTGGCATTGCCTGGGAGTTATGGAAGCCCAGATTTCCTTGATGCTTGCTGTCAGCTCTTCTTTGTTGATGTGTCTGGTGCCCCTCATTTTCCTCTTGAGAATACCCCATAGATCCTCAATGGGGTTTAGGTCCAATGAGTTGGCTGGCCAGTCAGGCACTGTGGCATGGGCATCAAACCAGGTTTTGGTGCTTCTGGCGGCATGGGCAGGGGGTAGGTCCTGCTGGAAGATGAAATCTGCATCTCCATACAGATCCTCAGCAGAAGGAATCATGAAGTCCTCTAAAACATTGTGGTAGACTGTTGCGGTGACCTTGGATTTAAGAAAGCAGAGTTTACCAACACCTGCACCGGACATTGCACCCCAAATCATACTGACTGGATATTTCTCACTTGACCTCAAGCAGTATGGGCTCTGTTCCTCACCCTTCTTCCTCCAAACCCTTGGACCTTGATTTCCGAATGAAAGGCACACTTTACTTTCATGGGAAAATAGGACCTTGGACCACTGGCCAACGGTCCAGTCCTTCTTCTCCTTGGACCAGTTGAGACACTTCCTATGTTGGCTCAGGTTCAGAAGTGGCTTGACCCGAGGAACCCGACAGTTGTAGTCCATCATGTGATTGCGTCTGAATGTAGTGGTTTTTGAAGCTGTGACTCCCGCCTCGTTCCACTCATTCTGGATCTCTGCCAGATTCTGGAATCTTCTCTGTTTGATAATCCACTGAAGCCGACAGTCATCTCTTTTGCTGATGCATCTTCTCCTGCTACATTTTGCCCTTCCACTAGACTTTCCATTGATATGCTTGGACACAGCACTCTGTGACTCACACAGCACTCCGGTTCTGGCAAGCTGATGGACGGCAGCTCCCCCAGTTTCTCTGCAGTCTTTTATCATCAAACTGACCCGTTTTTTCGAATCAGACCTAAGTTGGTCCCCCTTCCAACCAAATTCTGTCTTCAGTGACTCAGAGAGCCAGACGGGACCGTCCAGAAAAATTATTTTGGTCCAGGACCGGCCACGCCCACCCCACCGGTAACTCTGAGCACACCCTGCTGGCTAGGTGACCCCTCGAGCTGGGGAGTCATCGCACGAAGGTCCGGTGTTTTTTTTTCTCTCTCTCCGGACCCCAACAAACTTCTCATCTGGACCTTTGTGGTTCTACCTGGTCCCGACAAGAATCGCTGGGTGGTATTTTGCTGTTTTTCTGCTGGACTGGCCCTCGTGGTGTCTTCATTGGTGTCGGGGAAGTGTACCTGTGTCCCCCGAACTGGACCAAAACCGAACCGAGTTGGCTGTGGAGGACTTCGTCTTCAACAGAGCCGATCTCAGCCTCAGTGAGCAGCCCGTTACTTTTAATGAACGGCTGTCCACCTCCATGGAATAGCTGTGTTTTCCTGGAGGAGACGCTCTGATGCTTTGAAGCACTGCCGAAACCGGACCAGAGCAGAACCGGGTCAGGGACAACTTGAGCCTCTTCGTCTCTCGTGCTGTGGAGCGCCGGGGCCAGACTGGAGTAGAACCGGACTGGACCAGTGACGACTTCAGCCTCTCTAGTCAGTCTCGTCGTTTTTCACCGGGGGTGCCTCTCGTGCTGTCGGGTGCAGAGGTGACGTGCAGAGAAGTGGAGGAGCAGCGCTGTGTGGTGCTCGAGAGAAGTTCGGAGTTTTCATCAGAGTTGCTGCAGGCCTCCATCCAAACTCACCTGGATAATAATTATTTTTATTCCGGATCACGCTGTTGTCCCCTGTTGACCTGAAACGAGCTAGGACCATGCCTTTCATTTCAGGAGGGTTTTCTGGCAGCTCGCTCTGCAATTTGCTTCGAATTATCTGTTTCTGCCTGTTGATTCTGGACCCAGCTTCTGTTTCTCATGGGAGCATCCATCCATCTTCACAGGGGGGCCGGAGCCTCCTCAACCCAACTCAAACTGCAGTTGGGCTACCTCGTCAGATTTGTTTTTCCATTTGATTTGTGACGCTTTATGGTCTGAGACTTTTCTGTACCATTTTTATTATTGTCATTAGTTTCAGATCTCAGATTATCTGGAGTCACTGAATCTTGTTAATACACCTGGATATGCCCATCACTGCAAATGGAGTCGCTATTTACATCAGAGATTCTCTGGTTTCTAGTCTTGTGTCTTTTAAAACAATTCCAAACCAATTTGATGCCTTAGCTGTAAACATCACTTTGAATGGAGGCCAGATCTTATCTGTAGTGGGTTGATATCATCCCCCCTCAGCAACACCTGAGGCTCTGTCCTCCCTGATGGAATTCCTTAGAAATTTAAAATTCAAAGAAATTTTTTTTGGCAGGAGATTTCAACATTGACTGGGATAAGTCAACCCCCCCCCCCCCCCCCCACACCGTGATAAATTCAAGGAATGTTGCCTGTCATTCACTCTAACCCAATTGATTGACATTCCCACAACCATCCTGAAAAATCTTCCATCTTAGACCTGTTTCTAACAAATATATCTCACAAATTCCCTGGTACAGGTGTATTTGCTGACATTTTGAGTGATCATTGTGTAATAGCGGCTCTCAGAGATATTAAACTTCCACCTTCTAAGCCCAGATTAATTCAAAAAAGGTATCTGAAACATTTTTGTAAACAGTCGTTCCTCTGGGATCTATCCCACTTTGACTGGCATCGTATTCTATTAAATGACGACGTGAACTCCGCTTGGAACTATTTTCATAATAGTTTCATTTATTTTGTGAACAACCATGCTCCTTTTCGTCAGTTCAGAATAAAGGGACGAGACAACCCCTGGTTTACTCAGAGCTAGCTGAC